TCACAACAGGTCGCTGGTTCGAGCCTCGGCTGGGTCAGCTGGTGTATCTGTATTCTTCCCGTGTTGGCGTGGGTGCTCCAATTTCCCCCACAAGTCCAAAGACATGTGGTACAGGTGAATTGGCAAAATTTTACATAGGCAAAATTTTACATAGTTTATGTGTGTGAATGAGTATGTATGAATGTTTCCCAGTGATGGGTTGCAGCTGGAAGGGCATCCGCTACGCAAAACATATGCTGGATAAGTTGGCGGTTCATTCCGTTGTGGCGACACAGATTAATAAAGCTTAGTTAATAAACTAAGCTGAAAAGAAAAAGGATGAATAAATGATTTATTATTATTATTTTTGTTATTATTATTATTATTATTATTATTATTATTATTATTATTATTATTAATAATAATGTAAAACTTTATTTAAAATTGGGTTATTAAATTATATTAATTTGTTTACAAAAGTGTGTGGAAAAGTCCTTTCAATACAAATCATTCTACAGGTTTCATTCGTTTAAGCTTCAGAAGATTCTGTTCACACGTTGGCAATAAAGAAAGCCATTAATAAATGAAAATTATTACATTTAAATCCTTTTACATTGAGCAAGCAAATGAAAAGCTTTTTAAACTTTGCTTGTTTTTATTTCTGTCAAATGAGTTCTTTGTTTCCAAGATGCTGCTAGTTTCAGTTTTGTTTTGTCTTTTTTAAAAAGCTTTTTGTTTAGTAAATATTGATAAATACCACTACTTATTTAAGTTTTTACTTAGATTAGTCTTTTATTTGCTCATCTTTGTTTTCTCTCTAACAACAACACTGACAGAACGTAGACTCTCTCTGAAATCCACAATCAACTAGACTGAAACCTGGTCAAACAAACAACATGTGAAGCACACATCTCAGCTGTGGGCAAAGCCAAGAGCACACATGTTTCACTTTAGACTAGGCTCTTGGCATTCAGTGACAAGGTCGACAAATAAAAGACACCCACATGAAGCACACACACATACCCGCACATACACACACATGAAGCAACAGCAGACAGAAGGTGAAATGAACAACACAAGGGGTGCTGTACTGCTAAGAATAGATGAATGCTTGTGTGATGGAGTCCTGATGAGGGGTTACAGAGAAACATTTCCATCTGCAGCACTTGCAGAAGGTGCTGTGAATATTTACTGTGTAAACACAAAGGTGAAATGTAGGATTAAAACAGGTCTTTTGTGTGAATGCTGAATATTGCACTTAAGGATTATTTGCAATTTCTTGGTCTTCATAGAAATAAATAACTTTGTGAATGTAGCAAATTCAAACTTTGCATTCAGACTGATAATGATTGCAAAATTATAGAATTGCGTAAGGTTAATACATTCAAAAAGACCAATAAAAGATGGCATGGTGACGTAGTGGTTACCACTGTCGCCTCACAGGAGGAAGTTCAAGTTCGAGTCCCGGCTGGGTCAGTTGACATTTCTGTGTTCCACCACATTCCAAAGCAGGGCTGGGCAATAATTTGATAACGGTAATTATCACAATACATATTTTTCCAAAATAACAAAAATGACAGTTTGATAATTGCTCAATAATGTTTATGCACTATGCGTAACACTGCACAGGCATTTTGCAGCCTGCACCTCCGAATGCTGCGCGTAATATTAGTTTACAGCCATACAGTGTCAGTTGCACTTGGAAGAGTACGAAAAAATGGGGTAAGGAAAAATAAAAATAAGGTCAGTAAGTTACGTTTCCAGAATATTTTTATACACATATTGGATATGCAAATAAAAAACATATGCACATAAGTGAGAACAATAAACTTTTTATTCGATAAGAAAAGATGTGCATAAACTGTGATCGAAACACAACTTTTACCGAACAAATTCCAGTATGCGCATTAAAATGATCATGTGATTTTGTCATGAAGAGATCATAAAATTATAAAAATATGTGCGAATGGACAAACCAGCAGGCTGAGCACTTTATAAAACATCTGAAATGTTGTTTTGGTCATTCTAAAACGCCTTAATCCTTTCAGTATTAGTGTTATTATATTATTAATTACCTCCAAAATCAAGAACGTCTGTGCTCCGTGTCTGACTCCTTTAAACACCAACGCACGTTCACTGCGTGTCAGGATTGCGTTCTGAGATGCAAGTCATTTATTAGATGAAGAAAAGATTCACACAGCTTCTCCTACCTCATCAAATTCCGATTTTGCTGTTGATATTTGGCGTCAGTTAATCAGGAAGCTTTGACTCATTGGATGGAAACGCTGCTTTATTCACACAACTTTTATTGCGATAATCCAGTTCTGTACATAAAGTTTATTGGCATTTTTGGATGGAAACATAGCTACAGTCACAGACCTTGTTGACAAGAACTGTCAGTAAACTTCAGTAGTCTGAAGCATCTCAATTTTTTACAATCCGACACAAAACAGAGCAAAATGACAAAGCAAACTGTGCAGGCGAGTCGTGCCATCAATATCAGGCAAATCACAAACCTGTTTCATCATTTAAAACAATACCACTAATATATATGTAAAGATGCTAAGAAATTACAGTCCCGAAAAAGTGTTGGTAAACGTGGACCATCTACAAGTATCAGCGCAACTACCCAGCAAATGGTCATCATTTTCGATAGCCGTGCTTTATAGTATATGCTTCAGCACCAAAAAAAATCCATTAAAATGTTTTCACAGTTTCAATTCAATTTGTTTAATCAAGCACTGAAAGTAGTCTGAGATTACCCTGAAGGAACCTACTCAGTCTGAAAGATGGGAGAACTCTGAAACTCGTTGTGAGGCTCCCCGCATGTCTTGCCATGATGTGCGATATTTAAAATGAAAGTCTGCATAGGTCTATTTGTGCCAATCTGTCAGAATAGACTAGTTAAAACACCCACTTCTATAACCGAGATCTGCGCATAACAGGGTTTTATATGTCCCGCAAAATGGAATGTTAAGAGAGAGTCACTCTATAAGTTAAGGTAAACTGCACATATTTGATTATGTAATGCATAAAGTCGTGGAAGCGTCTCACAGCGGTTAGCATAACTTAACCTTTAAATATCCATGCTTAATCAGTTACTGATAAGGGCTATCAATTAAAGAGTTATCTACAATTAATAGATCATCAAGAAATCGTTAGCATCCCTAAATAAAAGAGGTAAAAGGATATTTCACCCTTAATTCACCACGCTCACAACTAAAAGGGCAGTTCATCCAAAACTGAAAAATCTTTCACCATTACCCTACCTTTTCTTGTTAAAAAACTGTTTTACCTTTTTTTCTGATGATTAACGTAAGGGCTAGGTCGGGCTGAAGCCCTTGATTGGCTGAAGAATTAATTTCCGCTTTTGACGTGGGAAACGCCTCCTTGTGTTATTCTTTCTCTTGTCGATAAAGTGAAGTATTCTTTTCAGTTTGTTGCTGTTCAAAAACAGTGACGGCAGTGCTAAACTGGGGCTCAGAGTGACTGTAGCCTATTTAGAATATTAAATAGCCTGTTACAGTCACCAATAAGGGTCGAAAGGTGTTCTAATTTTCCCAGGACAGTCCTTTATTATGGCACTACCGCGAGAACCGTCCTGTCAAAGGTAGGCTAACCAAGCTCGTTGTAGGACAAAAAATAAAATTCAAACAGTCTTCATCATTGATAAACTTGTACATTTAGTAAAAGAAGCTTAGATAGGCGGAAACATACTGAATGGACTTATAACTTAAGCGATGTCTCGGCCGCGCGGTGGTAACTGGACTCAAACTGACCCGCGCCTGCACAGTCCTTTCATCACACATTATAACCGAGACAGTGTGCGTTCAAATCAAATAGCCTTCACAAGCAGTTATCAAAACATTTATCCTTGCCAAGTATCTATCTCAGGTAAATACACTGGGTTATGCTTTGTAGTAAGTCTAACTAAACCAGTTAGAAAGCAAACTTTTTTAATGAATGTTTACTTTGCCCCTTTTATAAAAATTACAGTAATAATATGGAGCAATGAAATATTGGTGCTGAATGTCATTAGACAATATTTGATGAAACATAAATAAATTAATTAATTAATTAAATAATTAAATAAGGAGCCTTCAGTAACTCAGAAGACCACAATATGCTATTATGGATCTTAGAAGCATGGATATTAAAGATATTATAACATTCCAAAGAACCATTTTAAAGGTAAACCTCTATTTAAAGAATTTATTATAAAGCAGTAATTTAAGAAGTATTGTAAATGTTTTTTTGTTTTGCTGATTTTGCAGCCTGTTTTTACTTTAAAGTTCATACATTATATATATATATATATATATATATATATATATATATATATATATATATATATATATATATATATACTTTTGTAAGGTAAAAAATTAAAAGGTGGGCCCTTGGATATGCTATAGCCCCAGGGCCCAATGTGTTCTTAATCCGGCCCTGAGTGTAATGTCTTTGGTTGTTGAAAACTTAAACAGTAAATGCTGAAAAATGATTAAGATCTTTTGTTTATAATTTATTTAATGTATATTGTCAGACAGCTAAAACATTTTTGTGATAATTATTGATGTTGTCAAAAAAAAAAAAATATATATATATATATATATATATATATATATATTGTGATAATTTTTTTGACATATCGCCCAACCCTAGTCCAAAGACATGCAGAGTAAGTAAATTGAATAAACTAAATTGGCTATAGTGTATGAGTGTGTGTATGTGTGTGTGAATGAGTGTGTATGTGTGTATTTCCCAGAACTGGGTTGTGGCTGGAAGGGCATCTGCTGTGTAAAACATATGCCTGGAATAGTTTGGCGGTTAATTCCTCTGTGGCGACCACTGAAATATAGACTAAGCCGAAGGAAAAATGAATGAAGACAAATAAAATATAGAGCAAAAGACCAATACAATATCAAAAAATAAACTTACAAATACTGAGGTAGAACTGTGAAACATATCATCCAGTCCTGTGTGTTTGTGTGTGCATGCGTGTGTGTTTCTGTGTTACTTACAGTAACATGTTCCTCTTAGTGGGTTGCCAAGATAGCGATTTTCAGAATCACATCTGCAGAAAATTAACAGAAAGAACAATACGTTTACAAACATGACAAGCGTAGAAAAACAAATCAGCCATGGAAACTAGTTCCATGCATCAACAGAAAATTTCAGCTGATTTCTCTGTAGGAACTATGCAATATCTTTTCATAAGGATAATGCACATTTAGAATGCTAATCTACAGCCTGTATGACTCTATAAATTGTACAAAATAATACAATTTCTATATAATTTGTGATAAGCAGCTAGTTACTTCTAGTTACTTCAAACAATCAGTTTTTTATGCACCTGACACTTTATTTTATTTAAGCTCCATCTTACAAGAACTCAATAAGGAAAACGATGTTTACTATAAATGTTCCACAATCATGTTGCACTGCTTGCTTCAACCTTAAATAACTCTTTTGCACAATATTCAACCATAAATACCTCTGCTACACAATAGCCTGCACATCATTGTTCAGTATTTCAGTAAAAGTACTTGTATAGCCTGTTATATGTTTAGCCTATGTTACTGTCAACTATGTTATGGTTTAAAGCAGAGGTGTCGAAACCCGATCCTGAAGGGTCGGTGTCCTGCATAGTTTAGCTCCAACTTCCTTCAGCACACATGCCTAGAAGTTTTTTAGTATAAAGGGCTTGATTAGCTGGTTCAGGTGTGTTTAATTGGGGTTGGAACTAAAATATGCGGGGCACCGGCCCTCCAGGACTGAGTTTCCAAGCAAAAATATTAAGCATCTCTGCTGTGTTTACAGCCACTAATGATTAGAATGGTTTCATGAGCATCAAGCCAACATATGATTCCAGTGATTTGACACTAAAACATAAATACTGATGCTGAAAATGAGTTGCCATCACATCAATATGTTATATTTCAATACATTGCAATGCATACAATTCAAAATATAAATATATAAATAAAGACAACCTCTGTGAGTTTAAGAAATAAAACTTGTTTGATATCATGCAGTCAAACAGCAATGCTTTTGTGTCAAGTGTTGTGCTGTTGTTTTGTTGAACCACACAGAGCTGTGTGGTGGTATTCTTTATGCTGCAGGTAGTATATTCTTAGCCGCGCTTGAGCTGATTATTGTGGACGGGCCGTCAGGTGCCCCGCTCCGAAGAGGCCCGAAGAGGAGGATGAGACCACACTTCTGATCAACTCAGACTGACAAACCAAACAAAACCCTTTATGCTGTGCCAAAAGCAACTATCGCTTACTCTCTCAGGATCACAGAGGCGAGCAAAGCCCAGCATGAGTGGAATACACTCCATAAACACACCATTTTCTAAGAGATTGAGAAACATGCATCCATTTAAGCAGTAATGCACTGTAGAGAAAATTATTTTGGAAGTTTTTGGATCAAGGTCGAAGGTGTAGATGGGGTTTTTAAAAGCTTTTTTTCATGACCTTTTTGTATCACCATATTCAGTCGAGATTGTACGAGAAAAATGTAAGAAAGAAAAGACCACAGTGGCATGTCTGGTTTAGTTTAAAGCACTCATTGCTGGCATGTAAACACTGGCTGTTTATTATTCACCTCATGCTACAGAAGCAGCGAGTTCATGTGTGTGTATTCAGATCCCAATAAACACACAGATGGATGGATAGACCAGCAGGGCAAACACAAATGATTAATCACCAAATTGCCCTTTGAAGTGGAGAAGTGGCCGAGGGCATGAGAAAGAGACTGGCATCAAAGTCAGCATAAATTCGATAAAAACAGCTTTGTTCTATTTATATATGCTGTTAAATGTCATTTAATTCTGCATTTAATATGAGCATTTGTAGGGATGTAAATCTGATGTTTTGTCATATGATTTTGATAATTTTGGCCATGTGACATTTCTCAATAGTTCAAAATACAATTTTGCTTCAATTTGATTCAGTGGAATATCAATAGATGCATTGACATAAATTATATTGGTATATATATATATATTTATATATATATATATATATATATACATACATATATATATATATATATATACCGGCCATTTTATTAGGTACACCATACTAGTACAGCATTGGACCCCCTTTTGCCTGCATGGCATAGATACAACAAAGTACTAGAAATATTTCTTAGAGATTTTGGACTAATGGGCCTAAAGGGCCACACTGTGGGGGAAACCGGAGCACCCGGAGGAAACCCAAGCGAACGCAGGGAGAACATGCAAACTCCACACAGAAACACCAACTGAGTCGAGGATCGAACCCAGAGACCTTCTTGCTGTGAGACGACAGCACTACCTACTGCGCAACTGCGTCGCCAGGTAAAAATACTAATATACTATACTCAAACTAATATTTATAGAGGTACCAATGTTTTATGCAAATCACTGACACAATATATAGTTTAACAATACAATAATAGATACATTATATTATTAGATCAGTATATATATATATATATATATATATATATATATATATATATATATATATATATATATATATATATATATATATATATATATATATATATATATATATATATATATATATATATATATATATATATATAAATTTATCCATTTGAATGTATTATTACACTCTGAGGACCGTTATGCAGATGATGCTACACAGACTGTGTGAATAAAAGCATGTGCAGAAAGCACTGTTCATGTATTCATCATGTACAGTATAACAGTCGTGATCATTAGCTGTACTGGTGCTCAGTAAGAATAAGGAAGTCACAGATATGCTGTTCCGAAATAAAGTTGGGACTCATGAATGCTGTTTTGCTAGATTGCCCGGTCCCGCTCAAATTACACCACAGTTCCTGACTACTACAAAATTTTATCTTGGAAATGTATTCCCGTGTCGCAAGAAATCTGGTCGTTACATGTACACATTACATGTACACATCCAAATATAATGCAAAAAACCTTTTCATTAATTTCAACATTTGACTTTGATCATGACAGATTAAGCTTAGTTGTGCAACAGTTTTTTTAGCTCCTTGAAATTTGTTAGGATATGTTTTATGTGTCATTTATGTGGCATTGTTGCTCATCCTGCATTTCTTTTCATTAAATTGTGTATTTTGTTGATTTATTTTTCTTTTTTTTAAAGCACGTATTTCAACATAACTGCCAGAGATGAATGCAAATGCCAGGTATTTTTTCCAGGTTTAACTGACTTCTTTGCTATTGAACGACAGCAAATTAAAGCAAGTGAACCCAGTTCAGAACAACATGAGGTCCAAAAAAAAAAAAGAAGTGCAAGAGAAAGACATAACAAGACAAGGACTGAGAGAACAAATAAAGGGATGGAAAATGAAAACAGCAGGTGTCAGACAATGGGCATGCCCTCTAGTCATCTGTCTAGTCCTACTGCTCTCTTAGTTTGAAAGGAAAGAAAGATGAGAAACAGGTGAGAGAGGAAAAGAGTGTTTCTCTAACTGCCCACTGTTGATCCTTCCAGCCACACAGCGACGGACCCTCAAACCTGACTAAATAAACAGTGTGTGTGTGGTGTCTCCTTGCAGGAGACCGAATTAGCAGATAAATCCTCCGAGTGCCACATTTCACACTGAGACAGCTACGTGTGTGTGTGTGAGAGTCTCACAATAACACACGCGATTGTTGCTTGCGGGGTTTAAGCGTTCTCGCTTGAGTGCTCCTCAGGAGGGCCTGTCTAATTAAATAGCGGCTTCCTCATGGATCAAACACACACACACACAACTCTCAACATTACAAAAAGGGATATTACATTGAAATGAAATTAAAAATCATAACAGCCAAAAATTATATTTTATTAAAGTAATAATAAGTAGCTTGAAACAAACTTTGATGTTGGCTTGACAAATGTTGAAATAACCAGGTAAATTTAAATGGTAGGGTTGATATGAATTATTAGTATGTGTACAGAATGCTAGGGCAACCAAAATAAGTCATATAAAGTAATTAATTACCTCATCTCATTTTTAATTAACTTTAAAAAAAAAAGTTTGCTGAATGATTTAATGCAAAAGTAATAGTTAAGATTGATGGTTTACGGTTTGAATTTCTCCCATGTCTTATACTTGTACTTTGTTTCAATATATATGATATTCAAGTACCAAACTGATGCAACCATTCACAAAGATCATATTAACACTACTGCAAATTCACACAACAATTCAATACAAACATATACGTTTTTAATAACTTTCAGATTCAGTATTGCAGAGTCTGTTTTGCTATTTTTGCTCTCCCAAAGACAATGAGTCAGAATGATGACACTGGGACTTTCCTTAAAGTGCAATGTCTTTAAATGAATAATTTACCAGCTCTGTTTTTTGCTCCTGAATGAACATATTTTAGTCAAATCGAATGAGTGTAATTACCGTACATTTTTGTGTATAGAAAGTAGAAAAAAAAAGAAAAAAAACCAAACTAAACAAAGTTATCTTAGAAGTGCAGTAAGTGATTGTCTTCACAAACTATTTTTTGTGCTGGTTGAAAGTCTCTTCACATTCTTCAACAATGACAACCTGTGAAGCGCTCTCTATATTGTTTACTATCCTACTCTGAATATTCACTCTGTGGTAGCATGCAAACATAGCATAAGAAATATACCCAATAGCATAGCAAAATATCATCCAAAATGAATAATTAAATGATAATTTCATAAATCATAATCACTTATACAGAACATTTGTTTTAAACATTTACTAATTTGCACTCTAGTGAGCTTAAACATTAGGAGCTACCTGCCATCCTTTTGCGAGCTAAAAAACAACAACATAAGCTTCCCAATTTTGAGCTCATTTAAACAAATAAACAATAGAAAACGAAACAAAAAGTACAGAACGGAGCACACAGTGAGGATAAATAGTTAGCAAGATATGGTATGAGATGTGAAAATAAAATAAAATAAAATAAAATAAAATAAAATAAAATAAAATAAAATAATAAAATAAAATAAAATAAAATAAAATAAAATAAAATAAAATAAAATAAAATAAAGTAATAAATTAAAATAAAATAAGTGCAGATTATTGTGGTTCAGTGAGCATTTA